CAGTTAGCAGGAAAGCAAGGGTAACTGCTTTTGGGTTTAACTGGGCATGGTTGAGCCTACAGCTCATTGCCTGCTTGGGGTATGGGCTCTGGAAAACCATGAAGAAAGCAGCATTTCCCAGGTCCACTAGACAGACCCTCATTTGGATCCCTAAAGAGACATGTCTCACTCAAGTATCTCTTCGGTGTTTTCCAGAGTAAGAGAGCGTGTGGACTAATCCATGTTGCAAATTATGGTGTTTGCTAATATATACACATGTACACACAGAACATATGCTCTCTGGATGTTAGAAAAATGATAAACTAGGCCAGCCACAGTGGCTTACACCTATAATCCCAGTGCTTTGAGAGGATGAGGTACACATGTCACTTGAGGTCAGGAGTTCGAAACCAGCCTGGTCAACATGGTGAAACCCTGTCTGTACTAAAATTACAAAAATTAGCTGGGTGTGGTGGCATACACCTTTAGTCCCAGCTACTTGAGAGGCTGAGGTGGGAGAATCACTTGAACTCGGGAGGCAGAGGTTGCAGTGAGCCAAGATTGTCCCACTGTACTCCAGCGTGGGTGACAGAGCAAGATTCTGTCTCAAAAACAATCACACACACACACACACACACACACACACACACACACAGAAAAATGTTAAATTACCCATTGTCACTCTTGTAAATGTTCACATAATCACTCAGTGTTCTGAGACCTGCTGAGGTCAAAGACCTTGTATAAATTTGAGATGGATTTTGGTTTTACAAGGACTCACGTTTTTCTTCTGAGCAGGAGTGTAGGCATACCGTGGCAGGCTTAAGAAACCCTGGAGTGAAATGGCTTTAAGTTAGAAGGGGAAGCCTCATATACTGCTGATGGGAATATGAAGTAGTACAGCCACTTTAGAAACTAGTCTCAAAATAGACACTGTGTTACGTGTCATACAGCAATTCTTTTAGGCATATATTCAGGAGAATTGAAAACATAAATCTGCTCAAAAACTTGTACATGAATGTTTATAGCAGCATTATTAATAACAGCCAAGAAGTGGAAATGACACAAATTTCCATTAACAGATGAGTGAATCAATGAATAAAATGTGGCTTATCCATACAATGGAATTATTTGGCCAAAAAAAGGAATGAAGTACTGATGCATGCTACAACATGGATGGTTTCATTTATATGAAATGTCCAGAGTAGGCAAATCCATAGAGACAGAAAGGAGATCAATGGTTGCCAGGGTCTGGGTGAAGTAGGATTGTGGAGTGACCGCTAATGGGCACAGAGTTTCTTTTTGGGGTGATAAAAATGTTCTAAAATGGATTGTGGTGTTGGTTGCATAGCTCTGAATATCCTGAAAACTGCTGAATTGTACACATTAAATGGGTGTATTGTATGGTATGTGAATTATATCTCAATACAGCTGCTTGCTAGCTAGCTAGATACAGATATTCACATTGTCAGCCCCTCACTATGTGTACCAGGACAACACTCTGTACTTTTCAAAGACACAAGCTGTCCCTGCTCTGTAAACACTACCTTCTGCAAAGGTGCAAACTCAGATAGCCTTTGTTATTCTCTTGGAGAAGTACATTTTTATTTGCCCCAAATAGAGTAATGGTCCCATGATGAATAAGTAGGAAGTAAGATCATTTGTGGCTACACTTGATAATATAAATAAATCATCTTTATGAAAGCTGAAGAGTTATAAATTAGGACCCAATTTACCTGCCTGGACTGTTGAGGCTGTCGACACTAATAATCTTAGAGAGCTTTAAGAAAGGTTGGGGAATGTGGCATTTGTCTTTTTCTTTCTATCTTTCTTCTTTTTTTTTTTTTTTTTTTTTTTTTTTTTTTTTTTTTTTTTTTTTTTTTTTTTTT